GGAATTATTTGTAATGATATTCCAATGAGCCGCTTTGTGATATCACAAAGCCCGGAAAACAAACGCTGTAGTCCAAACGAGCCGTTCGTTGTAGTTCTTGAAAAGGGATTTTTTAAAAACGAAACATCTCCCTTTGGAGTGGACTTTGAGATTTGTAACTTTCTAGATCTTTTTTATGCTGAAACATACACACTACACACTGACTAAAATTTAAAAAAGTGAAAAAGCATAATAGGACCCCTTTAAATTAAGAACTTTTTTTTGTCTCATAGGAGAAAAGTATGCTAGAATCATTTGAATATATCGATTTATGATTTCAACCTAGTCCAACAGTACCTAAAAAATCCTTATTCAATGGTCACACATAAATAAGTCTATCCCAATAAGCACTGAGAAACGTAACGGGTATCACATGACAAGTCTGGCAGTTAAAAATAACCTGAGTAATGTCCAACTTTAATAGCCATTGATTGAAATGAAAATACATAGTAAAGAGTTACAATTTTAAAATATGTGATTTAATATTTAGACTCATCTAAGCATCGCTAAGGTATGGAGTGCAACAGAATTCCACACGATTGTTTTTAAGAATTCCGCTATATGGAGAAAATGAATGGGATTTTTAATTCCAGAACCCCACTGTTGCACTACAAGTAACTCTTTAATAGTCTACTTAAGGATTTACATTACTACAATTCTTAATCTGCTGTGATTTTGAGTCTGAGTCTATTCATACACTGGGTTGTCCTAAAGTCATTGTTTGAAAACATTTGTTTAGCATTCAAGGAAACATCATTTTACTTTGAATAATTTCTTTACAATTAATTCATTTCAGTTCAGTAAACTTGGAAAAATATCCTTGCTATTCTGTACAACAAACTTGCATATAACAACACACAATTATAAGTTAGATAAACTGGAAGTATTCCAAATTTACAGACGTTCATGGAAGTGTTATTCTTTAAAATAAAAACATATCCCTGTGACCCAGGAAAGACTTGTAAAACAATGGCTGGTCAGGCATAAGAAATAATAATAAAATTAAATAAAAAAAAATCTGTCCATGTGCAGCCATGTTCCCTTTAAGGATCCTTTCTCCACATTTCCATGGATCAGTGTGTGGTCCACTGCTGGTTATTACATGTGTGACTCTTCCAGTGTGATATCTGTCACTCAGTCTTTTCAGGTGGAATGACTTCCAGTAGCAGCTGAAGGTGCATGGTGAGTGGCCCTGGGAGAGTCACGGTTCAAGTTTAAGAATTTGGTGTTAAACATGGGAAGAGATGCTATTTAATTATTAGCCATTCATTAACTAAATGTTTTTGATACTAGTGAACATCCACTAAAAACAACCTTAAAAGTAGGGTGACCATGGGGCCTCATTTATAAAATGTTGCGTATAAACCGTCCTAAATTTGTTCTAAGATCATTTCTCAAAAGTGCTTAAGTGTGTTTCAGAGAAAACGAACGTGCACACAAAAACACGTGCGTACGCCTCTCTTCCAGATGTGACATTCATAAATCGCAAATGATCTTGAAATTGTGCGCAGCTGACTGGTGTCAGATCTCCGCCTTGTAAACGCCCCCTAAAAATTAACACTATTATTATTCTTGGGAAGTTCTTTTTGCATAAGAACAGATTCCTGAAAATTCCTTAAACTTCCCCCTAGTGTGTGTATGTATATATATATATATTTTTTTTTTATTATTATTTATTTATTATTTATTTTTCTTTCTCTTCTTCTTCCTCTTCTCCTTATGTTATGATGCTTGTCTGTTGTCTGAATAAGAAATTAAACATGAACGTTGCCGTGGATTTTAGCATACGCACTCTCTAAGATCAAATCTGTGCGTACGCACATTTGATAAATGAGGCCCCAGGTTTTTAGGATAATAGAGAGTTCAAAAATTGTATTTACTGTATACAGTATAGGCCTATTGACATTCTATGAAAATGAAAATATTAAATAAATTTAGAATGTTAAAATATTTGTTAAATATAGTTTTATTTATCATATGTTTTCATATTCATTTTATTTTTTAATGTGTAAAGTCATAATTTTGTTAGAATACTGTTTTGATCTCTTTGCTAATTGCAATGGTTACTATTTACTATTTTTCACAGTGTGATTTTTGGTGAATTGTATTTAAACCAGGTATGTTCAGTTTGACCCACAAACATCATAAACATGATTAATTATAGTATATGGAACCAAGAACAATTAAAAAAACAAAACATACAAAAATGTATTGTTCCTGTTTTTAAATTCATAGATAATACCAAATGAGATTTCAAAGATATTTTGACCACTGAACTAAGAAGCAATATGAACGTTACTTAGAAGCAATATATTATTCAGGAAAAAAAAACTCCCATTGAAAATGATTAAAAATGCATCAAGAGCCAAAACAAACATACATTTTTGCTCACTAGAATATATCCAAATGTGTAATTACTACTTACTCATGATGCGGCGAGTCCAGTTGAATTTGTAGTAAATGAAAGGTACATATAAGAGAAGACCACCGACTATGAACATTGTGCAGTACAGGTATTCCCACTCAGGCTTTTCTATGATGGGAGCAAGAACCAGGTAACAGGACACAATCACCACCAGAACAGGGATGACTATTGGCACCTGAGAGAAACAAAAAGCAAACATTTTTATGTCGGGTAGCCATTTTACAATAGATTACCTGCTATATTAAAAAAAAAGAAAATATTTTCATTCTAGCTTCCTCTTGAAAGTTGCCTTTTGCACCACTGGGAATATTATCGGGTCATATCACGAATAGCTTTTAATGTTCGTAATTTTGAAAATTTGCAAGTTGCTTTGGATAATAGCATCTGCTAAATGATTACATATAAATGCAAATGCTGTGCAAAATGCAAAAGTTGAATTCATCCACATGATGAGGTGTCACTCTAACCTTGACAGGTCTCTGAAGCTCCTTCCTAGTGAATCGCATAACAATGAGTGCAAGACATGTGAGCCCATAGAAAACCCACTGAGCAAAACTGAAGTAATTGATCAGAGTGTTTATATCTGCAGGCATGATGTAGATGATTGACAAGATACCCTGCAAATCACATACAAGAATAAATACATAATCACAAAACGTAAATATTGTTAATGTTGTCATATATTTGATGTAATAGTGTTGAGAATGTAATATTCCATGAGACTTACATTAAACATTAGAGCTGGAGAAGGTGTGTAACGTTTCACACTGATGTACGACATGATCCTAACCATGTGGCCCTCCCGTCCCGCCACATATGTCAACCTAACATGAACAAACAGACACAACAGACAGTGAGAGTCAGGCCCAGACAACAACTTTCAGGATATTTTCCAGTGTGCAAATGACTATAACACAGATGAATTTCCTAACCTGCCTGCGGTGAAACAGCTTCCATTGGCTGCACCAAAAGTGGAAAACACCACAAATAAAGGCACAATCCATGATAATGGGTACAGCACTCTGTCACCGAAGGTCTGCGAAGTAACCAATGATTTAGTAAAATACAACTCAAGGAACATGTTACAAAAAGTATATTAACTGAAGACTTAAAATAAACTGACTTTAAATTTAATTCTCAAAAACCACTGACCAATGAATCTCCACGATGACATATCCAATTTTTTATGATTAGTGTAAGGGTTTTAAAAATACATTTTTAGAAACTGTGCTTGCAATAGCAATTATTTGTCTTTTTGCAAATTATAGAACTAAGCATAGCTAGGAAAATATATATATATTTTTCAATAGAATATAACTTTTTCTAGGTCTGGAAATCACAGACTTCAAATTTCTTTATATTTTTAGGTTTTCCTTGGTTGTGGGAACTAGTGATGTTTGCTTCTGAAACACTGCTTTGTGAAGCTTCGAAACCTTTGTGAATCATTTGTTTTGAACCAGTGATTTGGGGCGAGTATCAAAATGCCAGTCATGTGATTTCAGTAACAGAGGCTGTTTCAAAATGTTTTGAAATTTCAATGGTGCCCTGCTAAGGGTCCATGAAACAGTGTCTGCATGGTTTTGACCTGATCCCAGATCAATTTCATACATTTGTAGACATTTTTATGACACATTTGTATAATAAAAGGGAAACGTTATAGTTATTAGTCTCTTATTGGCCTGATTGACCAAGCTCTCCATAAACAAAACAAGTCCTACAAATGAATAAAGTAACACATATTATACAGACAGACACATCATATTCAATGGCATTAGATGATTTGTTAATTATTTTGTATTTTATTATTATTTTGTTCGTAAAATGTTTTTATGCATGTTTGATCTAACTTTTCAGTGCATTTACAACGTTTTGACCAGCAGGTGTCCCCAGCGTGTGGCATTTTGAGCATTTCTAAATAGTGAAGAATTTTGTCAGGCATTGGGTTCATTTGATTCAAAGTTTCGAAAAGCTTTGTTTCTCTCATTAATAACCATGACGGTGACTGCATTCGAAACTGCATACTTTCCTACTATACAGCAGGCAAAAAACAGTATTTGAAAAGAGTAGTATGTCCAAATTCACGGTACTCATGAAAACGTAGGTGGCAAAAAGTACCCAGATGACTTACTACTTCTAGCGACAATCTGAAGTGTGCATACAATGGACAAATTACTATCCCATGTGGCCATAGGAGAGGATTTGTGAGTGGCAGTGAAGCAACATAACTGACGCTAGTAGCTCACATGATAATGACAACGAATAGCATTCATACTACACATGTTCATACTATATAGAACATACTTTTTTAATAACCCATTGTATATCAAGAGCAAGGACATGTTTGTGTGCATTTTGTTTTGTGCTTTTACCAGAACAAAGCGTACGATCGTCTGTGTGAAGACTGCGCATTGTGAGAGAACTGATAACAGCAGCAACGAGCGCTCGCCATAACACATCCCAGCGATAGATCGCCTGTTGTTTAACACAGACCAACAAATCTGTTATCAAATGGAGATGTTTCTTTAGGTACATCTGTGTGTGCCCCGTGTGTGCCACTTTTTGTGTGTTGCAAAAAGTGGCGGGGGGCGGGGGGGGACA